ATTGGGTTGTCGTCGATTGGGTTGGGATTTCCATACGAACTCCATAACAACAAAAATTAAAAAAAATTAAAAAAATGTGTGGCAGATCGTTCATTCAAACCTATGTTCTAGTGGGACAGACAAATAACAAACAGATAGTTAATTATTGAAAATTACAATAAACAAAATAATTTAATTAAATCTTAATTAATAAATTACCGGAACGAAATTTATGCAGCAATTTATCCATTTCTTCTTGAAACCCAGTATTGTCAACTATAGCAGACCCTTCATTTTTATTAACTTTAGATTTTTTGTAGTTTTCGATGTACAACCTTTAGAAGGAGTAGAAGTAATTTTTTGTCGTTTGTTTGTTTAGGGATTACCAAAGATATAGGTTCTTCACCTGTAATACTGGCTCTCGATTCGTCAGTATCCGACACTTTCAACGCATCGATATCGACTAAATCTTTAACATTTGAAGACGTTTTTTACAGAAAAGAAAAACTTTAGAGAAAAATAATTAACAGTAAATAACAAATTAGAGATAAAGTTAATCTCAAAATTTCTCTGAATGTTTTTCAGTCAATGTTTTTGAGTGTTATATATGATTTTACTCTATAATAAATCTACTCTATTTGAAATTGTGTCAAAAAACATATTAATTATTTTTAAAACAAATATGTTATCCATAAATGGAAATAATTATTTTAGAAATTTAATAACAATAAAAATATGTTTCATAAAGTTATTCAATATAAAAATTGATTGATAATATTTTGCAAAGTAAGTAAAAAAATATAATAGTTAGGGACTACTGGCGGTCGAGTGCCAGACAGCACTGACCGTGGATGTGGCCTAAATGGCCAGAATCGGTAAATAAAAGTGGGGTCACATTTTAATATAAAATAATTATTAGAAATATTATTTTTTATATATTAAAAAGTATTATTAAGTTACTATCTTCTATATAAATAATATATCATACTATGCAAAATAAATTTTGATATTTCAATAAAATTATTAATATTTTTAAAAAAAAATTATTTAAATAATTTTTAAAAAAATGTTTGTATCAGGTATATATCAGAGTAGGAAGAATACAAGGTTTTTAATTTTGTCTTTGTAAAATACATTTAAAATAAAATGTACTGGATCAAATTTATAATTTTAGAAAAATTACATAAACAATGATAAAATATTTATAAATTTTTATTAAACTTATTATTATTACATAATATCAATATTTGATATTAGAATCGTTGTTTTCTAAAACTAGTAAAAATTAATATTAATTAATTGTTTTATTAATATATTAGAATAATTTCAATAGCTATGTACAAATTTTTTCAAAATTAAAAAAAATATTATTATTACAAAAACACGTGTTTGTTTATGAATGTTAGTATTTTTTTTGTAAACTAAAATTGTCAATAAAATTTACATTGTATTATACACTGTATATGTTTTTTATTATACATATACTCTCTGATAACACTGCTGTATATATTAACTATTAGACTATATGTCATTATTATTATTATTATCGGACACAGTATTGACAATCCAATCAATATGTTTAGATATGCGAACAAATGCAATGTGAGCTCTGGGAACATTGGCCGGACATGAAGTACCTGCCGGCCAATGGCTTTCACTTAACCCTATTAGTACTGCCCGACCGCCCATTGCCAACAAATTATTACTACTATTTGTTTGTTGCCGACTACTACTGTCTATCACATACTGAACCAATGGACCACCAGAATCACCCTATAATAGAAAAAAAATTATTTTATAATATATATAAAACTATTGTAAAAGTTTTTATAACACTTACTTTACAGGAAACTGTTCCCACATTTACTGGATATCGTTCAGCAATAATCAAATAAGTCCATTGATCCCATGCGCTGAAAAACGGGTCAGATATGCGAAACCAACCCGTCCGGAGTGGACCTAAATTATCCACATTTTCGTCAATATCACCGAAACCGGCAAACACTGCCAACTCTTTATCGGTGTTAACAATGTCTTTGTCGGGCAAACAAATGGCATTAACTGTCGGATACCCACCCGTCGACTGTGTCATCAATATCTGTGAATCCAATTTCAATAATGCGATGTCATATCCATAGTCTAGTCCAGGGATATGACTGAGTGCTGTATAATTGGGTTGAATCACATACTTATTCACACCGTATAAATGACTATAGTCTTGAACTAGTCGTACATTTATTGTGTAATCGGATCTTATAAATAATTAATTATTTAAAATAATAATATTTAATTATAAAATTATATTAAATATTTTATTTWAAAAAAATAAAAATCTAATTACAATACACAATGTGCTGCTGTTATAATCCAATAGCTATTAAATATAAATCCAGTACACCATGATCTTAAGATTTATAAATAAATTTTAATTTATAATTAATATAATTAATATTAATATAATTAGATAAATAAATATTTATATTTTTATAAATTTTTCTAATTAGTTAAATTAATTAATTTTTTAAAAATATTGTAAAATATAATTTAAATCCTAAATACCTGTCATATTTAAAACCCCAAAATGTTTTATATATATCAATGAATGCAATCCACGGCCACTCAAACGGTTGAGCTAACCGTCCGTTTTGAACATTTGTCCCAACATTTGATGACCACTTAAAACAGTGTCCGCTCATCAACAGTGACTGACGATTGATACCACACTTGTCCTCTGTTACCGACGGATAGAGTTTGATACGTGTGTGCAGACCATAGGTTAACGCAATAAATCCAAATAATAAAAAATAAATTCTCATTTCAAAGTGTTTTGTATTTGTTAAAAGTGATAATTTGTTAAAAATATATATAAATGTATATTTTATAGTTATTTTAATTATATTTTAAATTAGATTAATTTGATATTTATATATTTACTTATAAAACATATATATATAAACTCCACGACAATAAAATAGAAATTTTTTTAATTTAAATTTATATAAACAAAATTAAATTAAACAATAAAATAATTAATTGTAAAATAATAATARCTAATAGTTTAATAATATATAATAATATAAAACAAAATAATAACCAGTTTTAGAGATTAAAAGATAATTTTTCTAATCTCACTTACAACACATGTGACAAAAATTTTGAGTTCGTAAGTAAAAACGCCATTTATTATCAACAATTCAATTAAAAGAAAGTAAATTAAACTTAATTTAGTTTATTTTATTGTATAATTTAATAACAATTAATTTTTCAGATCAAAAATGGGCCGAAAGAAACAATTGACTGACATCGAAAGAGGACAAATTGATGTTCTACGTCTGATACATCCCGACTGGACGGCCACACAAATAGCGACCGAAATCGGCCGATCGAAGTCAACAATAAGTCGGTATTTAGCCGACCCAGAAAATTATGGAAGATCGCCGCGTAGTGGACGACCAAAAGCCATTTCCGAGTATAAACGCCGGAGAATGGTTGCAATGGCTGGCCGCCGACCGCTTACCGCAAGGATGATATCGGCCAAAGTATCGGTAAACTGTTCATTGAGAACAGTTCAACGAACTTTGGCCAATGATGAAAACTTACGGTGGCGGAAAATGGCCAAAAAACCTCGGCTAGAGCAGACTCATAGAGATGCTCGGCTGAGGTTCGGTATCGAACACATCCGCTGGTCGTTAGAATGAAGACGTGTTGCCTTTTCTGACGAGAAGAAGTTTAATCTTGACGGACCCGATGGATTGGCATATTATTGGCATGACATTCGACAAGAAAAACGGATCATGTCCAAGAGAAACTTCGGCGGAGGTTCGGTTATGGTTTGGGCGGCCTTTGGCTATTTCGGTAAATCCGATATAGTACCAATTGAAGGACGCATAAACTCTGACCGATACCAGGACATGGTTGGCCAGTATTTGGTACCGACTGGGCCGCTTATCGCCGAAGTCCCGTGGATTTATCAACAGGACAACGCGGCACCTCATCGGTCAATATCTACTATGGACTGGTTTTTAGCCAACGATGTTGAAGTCATCCCATGGCCGTCACGGAGCCCCGATCTCAATTGTATTGAGAACCTTTGGGGTTGGTTGGCTCGCCGCGTTTACCGCGACGGCCGTCAATATGACAATCGGCCCCAATTGATTTCCGCCATCAAGGAGGCATGGTCAGAAGTTCCTCAGGAACTTCTGAAAAGTCTTATTGACTTCATGCCTAACCTGATGACGGAAATTATCCTTCAAAAAGGTGGCCAAACTCATTATTAATTAATTATAACTAAATTTAATTATTATTTCAAAACTTTTGTCAGGATAATTTTTTTCAATTTATTAATTATACTTAAAATATTATTTAATTTGAATTTAAAAATATATTTTTTATGTTTTATTTATGCTTCTAGTTTTAGATATTATTTTGATTTTAAATTGAATTTTTTTATAATTATATTTATTAAATTAAATTAAATTTACAATTTTTCTATATTAATGTCGTGGAGTGTATATATATCAATTTTAAAACATAACTGATATTTGTAACTTTTAAAGTTTACATTGTCAATATTGTTTTACAAGCTACTTAAACTTAAAGTTTTATTAGTAATAAAAATTTTATATTTAGGTATAAATTTTTTTTGAAAAAAATGATATTTTATTAGAATCTATAATTTTTTAACTTATTATACTTGTTATGTGTGTTTGTTTAAAATAATTATTTAATATGTTTAATAAATTGAATAATATATTAAATAATTTGATATATTCTTAAGTTTACAATATATTATTCAAATACAGTAGTTTTATCAATTAAATTATTTTAATAAAACATTTATTTCAAATGAAAATGATAAACAAAACTAAATATCTATATTTTTATAAAATTTTTACTAAACATAGTATTTTCAATAATATCACATATAATACATAAAAAATTTAATATTTTATTTATTGTTTGAATTATATATGAATACTAATAATAATAATATATTTATTAGTTTCGGTTACTAACTTAGACTATGTATTAGTCACCACTGTATTGATAATCCAATCGATATGTTTGGATATGCGAACAAATACATTGATAGTACCGTCAAATTTGGACGGACAGGTAATCGCTTCCGGATTCATACCCTTATTTAAACCAATTAGTACGGCCCGTCCTAAACGATTTGTACCATTGTATTCAACTGCATACTGAACCAATGGACCACCCGAATCACCCTGTATATATATATATAAAGAATATATATATATAATGTAATTGTACAGTATAAATTGAATAAAATTTCTAGTAAATTTCTTAATGAATAAAATTTCTATAAATATTTAACATTATTTTTTGTTTTAATAATTATCATGTATCCCATAGTCTACTGTATACTAGACTCTATAATCATAAAACCTATAGTTATGGAAATTACCAATAAAAACATAATATTAGTTTATAAAGAATATAACTTATTATTATATTATGTTAAAATGATATCTATATTTAAATTTATAAAATATAGTTTTGTTTTAAAAAAAACAAACATTTTATTCATAATACAATTATATTTAAATAATAATAAAAAAGTAAATGTATATTAATTTTTTAGAACTTTAAATATTAATTGAAATACTGATAAAAAATACTTATTTGACATATTATTTGTAATAAAAATTTATATAGAAATCTTATAAACAGATTTTTTCATAATATTTCTAAAAATATATTATTTTTATTTTAGAATATTCTCCTCTTTTTTTTGACAACTCTATGTATATGTAAAAAATAATTTTAAATTTTTTTTTCAAAAATTATTAATACAAACATACAATACAAGCAGCCGTTCCCTTATTTATTGGAAATCTTTCGCATCTAATTAAATAAGTCCAACGATCCATAGGATTATCAAACGATTCAGTCATACGAAACCAACCCGTTCTCAGTGGACCCGAATTATCGATATTATCGTTGATATCACCGAAACCGGCAAACACTGCCAACTCTTTATCGGTGTTAACAATGTCTCTGTCGGGCAAACAAATGGCATTAACTGTCGGATACCCACCCGTCGACTGTGTCATCAATATCTGTGAATCCAATTTCAATAATGCGATGTCATATCCATCTCGAAGGCCGACAGTATGACTTAATGCCGTATAATTGGGATGAATAACATACATATCCACACCGTATGAATGACTTTGTTGACTATAGTCTTGAACTAGTCGTACATTTATTGTGTAATCGGATCTTATATAATAATTTTTTTTAAAAATAGTAATAATTTAAAAAAATTAAATTTTTAAATTATTAATAAATTACTCTAAACAATGTGCTGCTGTTATAATCCAATTTCTATTCAATATAACTCCTGTACACCAAAACCTTAATTAGGTTTTAATAATTTTAAATAATTTATTAGTTTAAATATTAATGTCTTAAATATGTCAATACCTGTCATATTTGAAACCCCAAAATGTTTTGTATATATCAATGAATGCAATCCACGGCCACTCAAACGGTTGAGCTAACCGTCCGTTTTGAACATTAGTCGTCATATTTGATGACCACTTAAGACAGTGTCCGCTCATCAACAGTGACTGACTATTGATACCACAGTTGTCTTCTGTTACCGACGGGTAGTGTTGGATACGTGTGTGCAGACCATAGGTTAACACAATAAATCCAAATAATAAATAAATTATCATTTTTTAAATGGTTTGCATTTGTTAAAAGTAATAAATTTGTTAAAAAAATATATAAATGTATATTTAATAGTTATTTTTAATTATATTTTTATCATAGTTTAATTTGTTATTTATATATTTAGTTATGAATCTAATATATCAAATTTAAAATATATACATTACAACTAGTATTTAAATATGATATATATGTAACTTTTATAAGTTTTCATCGTCTATATTGTTTTACAAACTATTAAATTATTAGCAATGAAAATTTAATATTTAATAATAACATTTTTTTAAAAATTGATAAATTAATAAAATCTATAATTTTATATCTTATTATACAGTACTGTGTGTGTGTTTTTTTTACTAATTAATTAATTATATAATTATTATTTAATTAATGTTTAATAAATTTAGTAATATATTAAATAATTTTATATATTTTTAAAGTTTATAGTTTATTATTTACAAATAGCATTATAAAATATACAGTATTTATTTCAGGGTTAAGCAATGGGTAGGGGGAGGGGTATGATCATTTTTTTCTCCCCACAAAATTGAAATTTTAGCCCCCCCCTGCATAAATTTTTTGAGGTAAAACAACCACGTCAACTTTTCAACAACAAAAAAATATTTCAAATATAATTTCAACAACATCTAACAAATCTATTTTTGTTAAACATACTAATATCTAAACTTTATTATTTTTTTTTATTAATATTCTACATTAAAATTAATTATATTAAATATATAACTAATTGTTAAATATATTAGTAAACTATAAGTTATTATTATTGTATTAGTTTCAGTATTATTATTAATATTAGTCTATTTGTTATCCCTGTGTGCGGACACAGTATTGACAATCCAATCGATGTGTTTAGATATGCGAACAAATGAATTCATAGCACCGGCAACTATGGGAGGACAGGCCTCATCCGTATAGGGCATAAAACCTTTACTTAATCCTATTAGTATTGCCCGACCCGTCATCACATGACTACCATTTTGACTGTCCATTACATACTGAATCAATGGTCCACCCGAATCACCCTATAATAATTATATACAATTTATAATATATATATATATATATTCAATTTATATATAAATTAACGTATTTTATTATTAATTATATCAACAAATATTATACACTGTATATAATTTGATAAATCAATAATTATTAAATAAATTATTTTTATATTATAACATACAGTACAGGCAGCTGTGCCATCATTTTGTGGATATCTTTCAGCGATAATCATATTAATCAAATGATTCCAATCTTTATTCATTGATTCAATGATACGAAACCAACCCGTCCGGAGTGGACCTGAATTAATCATCTGCGGGTCTAAGCGTCCRAAACCGGCAAACACTGCCAACTCTTTATCGGTGTTAACAATGTCTCTGTCGGGCAAACAAATGGCATTAACTGTCGGATACCCACCCGTCGACTGTGTCATCAATATCTGTGAATCCAATTTCAATAATGCGATGTCATATCCATACTCTAACTCAGGTATATCARGGAAAGCCGTATAATTKGGATGAATGACATACTTATCCAAACCGTATGAATGACTTTGTTTACTGTAATCATAACCTACTCTTACTCTTATTGTAKTATCGGATCTAATAATTAATTAATATTAAATTGAAAAATAAGCTTTAATTATAAAAATTTATTTTATTAGCTAATATTATTCAAATCTAATTACAATATACAATGTGCTGMTGTTATAATCCAATAGCTATTAAATATAACTCCAGTACACTATTTACTTAATATACAGTATACGGATATACAGTATTGTATTTAAAAAATAATAATGTTATTATTTGATTATATAAAATATGATTTAAATTTTTAAGATAATGAAAAATGTAGTAATAATTTTTTAATACTTTTCATATCTGAAACCCCAAAATGTTTTGTATATATCGATGAATGCAATCCACGGCCACTCAAACGGTTGAGCTAACCGTCCGTTTTGAACACTAGTCGTCACATTTGTTGACCACTTTAAACACTGTCCGCTCATCAACAGTGACTGACTATTGATACCACACTTGTCCTCTGTTACCGACGGGTAGTGTTTGATACGTGAATGTTGAGCATTGGTTAACACAATAAATATGATTAACAAATAATATTTCATTTTACAAAAACAACATTTAAATGTAAAATAATATTTTAATTATAAATTATTATATCTCTAATTAAATTTATTTATATAAAAATTATTTTCTTTTAATAATATACTATTAATTTTATCTTGAAATTGATATTGTTTGATACAATTACTATAATATTATTTGAAAATTTAATATTTATATATAACATATAAAAATAAATTATTAGATAATTATTATTATATATTATATTAAAATATTACTTATAATTTAAAATTCTTAATATAATTGTATTTTACAAATAATTTGATTATTTAAACTTCAATCATAATAATAACAACTTTATTATATTACAAGTGTTAAACAATGTATAGAAATTATTATTAACTTTCTATTATTAATCTATTTTAAAAATTTGCCAAAAAATATATATTTTAATTAAGCAATTAAAAATATTTTTACTAAATTTATGAAAAATTATATATAATTTTTTTGTTGATTAGTTTATTGAAAGTCCACAATAAGTTTCACATGAATTTCTTTTATTAATTTATATAATAATTACAATTATATCACTCATTGATGTCATTATATGTGCAGTAATTATCGTACACTTGAAATGTGTGTTTAATTGCCAAACATTACAGGATATATCTATTTTTTTAAAATTATTCAATTATAATAAATATTAAAAATTATAAACATAAAAAAAACTATAAAATTTCTAAAACATTTTATTAAACATATTATGAAACTGCAAATTATACACAAAATAATGATAAAAAAAATTTATGTAATTAAATGATTGTTTAAACGATTAATAAAATAGTTTAGTTTAAAACTTAGTTTATTAGTAATATTTTATACATTTATTTTATAGTTATAATATTTTAGTCATAACTAGTTTTAATATTTTTTAAAAAATCAAATACAATATAAAACACACTAATATTTAATGTATTAAAATAGACAGTCAAAATTTTTAAAAAAATTATTAAAAAATGTAATTCAAGTTTGTACTTTATATCATATTAAAATATTTATTGTATTATTTATGTATATAATAATACTATTTGATTTATGTTTATCTAATTATGTTTTTATAATTAAAATATTAATTCAATATAATTATAATTAAATTTCACCACAAATACACCATTACCCACATTACACCAACAAAAAAACCAACACAATAGCTAATATACAGTWTTATAAATCTAATTATATAATAACTAAAAAACTATATATATATAAAATATAGCAACAGTTAAATATTGTTACTAATCATCGAGTCTGTGATGTGTATAAAAAGCCGACAAAAAAAAATCCGATCCGTTTTCATCAACATTGACCACCAAATCATTGTCAGCTGCTCTCGGCTCACACATACTCAACTGTATCAGTATCGGTGACATCAATAGCGTGGACGTAGTCGTCGTTGTTAATCATAACATRTTGACCGCCACAATCATTACCAACATTGACAATGTCATCGCCATYACTATCGCCGAAGTTGTCATTTTGATCATCTATTGGACGAATCATTGAATAGTAATCATWWGTTAGCATTTGTTTACTGAATTCTTCTGGTGTAGTCATTGCTATCATCGATTCCAACAAATCTTTGTCATTATTATTATTATTATTAATAKTAGTAGTAATATATTTATTGTCGRTAATCATAAACGATATGCTGGTGACCACCGGCACAGCCGCAGCAGCGGTCGAAGCGGACACTTGTGACACTCGATTATCACCGGAAATGTTGATCTCATTTTCCCAATTGTGTGAATCGATGTCAAACTTGAAGTTCAAATTGTCAGACATCATATGAAAACTGTATTATCTGTTTCTTATATATTATCTTTACTCTCTCTCTCTCTCTCTTCCTTTTCTGAAAATTGTAATTAAAAAAAATTGTGTCTTTAAATAAATAATATATATTAGTAAATAAAAATTTGTTTCAATATAAATATAATAATTAATTATAATGAACTATATATATTTATTTTGTGATTATAATAATTGCTACAACAAATTAATATTTTAAATATTGCAACCTTTAAATACACTATACAATGAGGATGATAGAGATAGATAGATAGATAGATAGATAGAGAGAGAGAGAGAGAGAGAGAGAGAGAKAGAGAGAGAGAAAGAAAGAAAGAGTAAATAGTTTACAAATTTTTTAATAAATAGTAAAATTGCTGTCAAATTATCATACAATATAGCGTTAACAGCGCAATATATAAGCTCAAGTAGATATGGTGAACAGGTAGGTTGTCTTAGATACAGCATTGCTTACTATGAAAATGGATAAATCGACGGTTAAATTATTGTTGTTTGCTATCATCGGATAGATTATGAAAATATTTAGCAAAAAAGTATATTTTATTAACAATTTTCGGTCAAACGAGAGTTGGCCGAAATAAATGGTCAAAACTTACTTTTTTTTAGCTGAAAACGTAAAATACAGTAAAATGGCGAAATGATATACACATAAATATATACACACAGACAAAGCAAGAGCACAGGTATGCAGTGGTAGTACTGATACACTGTTAACATAACTGGGTTTTCCTGTTTCTCTCTCTCTCTCTATCTTTCAAACACTAACTCACTCTCTCGCATAAAATTATCAAAAATCTAATTTTATTTAATAAAATGATAAATTTATTTTATTAAAATTTATAAACCAAAAAATATATATATAACTTGTAAAACATTTTATTAAACTTATTATGAAATTGCAAATTATACACAAAATAYATAATAATAAAWWTTTTTATGTAATTAAATGATTGTTTAAACGATTAATAAAAWATTTGTTTATTGMGAAACTTARTTTATTAGTAATATTTTATACAAATTATCTATAT